ACCTGGGTCTACCATAGAAACCCATCTATTTTCTAAAAAGGACACCCATGGCCCAACCAAAAACCATGGCTGTTCGTCAAACAAATGTACCAACGTGGCACCTTGGCAGAAAAAAAAACAGTTTGGTTTTGAGCCACACCCACATGGCTGTGGGTCAAAAACAGGTACCCGTTTTGGGAATCCTGGTAAATGAAACCAAAGACTAAATCCTGCGGTTTCCTGGTGGTGTAATTTTGACCCATACCCGAGAATGTCCCCCTTAGGGTGGCCGCGTCCTTTGCGAGTTCTTTGACAGGAGGGCTCCAAGCAGCCGCAGAACTGGACGCTGAAAGGCGCACAGGTCTCCGATTCCGGGGAGGCGCGGAGATGCGCGAGACCGCAAGCCGCAAAGACGTGGGACTTGATCAAAACTAGGTCCCCCAGTAGTGCCCTTTTACCCTTTTTTGGGGGAGGGTTCCCCTACGAAAATAGACTACAGAACAAGGGTACCCTTAAGAATAACCTCTCTACTGGAGGACCTAGAAAAGGTCCTTTGGGATGGAACTTGACCATTTTGCTTGGCACATCGCCAGGCGAGCAGGTTGAGCAGCATGCGGAGCCGGGCGTGGCAGGCCGGGGGCATCAGAGAAAATCCAGAAGTGAGAGAAATGTGGTTCAGCTTGGCAATGAGCTGAGAGCCCCCCAAAAACCATGGCATTAGAGTTGTGTTTCTTCTTTTCTTTTTTGGGCATGTTCCGGACCTGAGGGGGCTTTTCCTTTTTTTTTCACATAGGGGCATGCTCCGCACCTGGAAAGATCGGAGTTCAAGCTGGCTTGGCGCGGATGTCGCTATGAACTCTGGCGAAAAAAACTCAAAGGCATGCGGGCAAAGGGTTGACGAGCATGCAACAAAGCTCCACTTTAGCCCATTCTCAGGAATTGTGTTCTCGGTAGTGATGAACATGGTACTATATGAACAACATATGACCACCTCCAAGGTAAGGAAATGTTTATTCGTTTCGCAACCGCCATGCTGGGTGCATTTCCGGGGGTTGTGTGTGTGTGTGTGTGGGGTTGCTGCGCCCTTGGTCCCTTTGGAGGTCGCTTACAAGAAGTCAGCAAGCTTACGGATGTCCGTTCCGAGTGTGGAACACGACCGCCTTGGAGCCAGAGTGCTTGATTTGGCCCCCCCCCCCCCCCCCCGCCCCTGCGAATGTTGAGAGAGCGGACAAGGTATGATAGCATGCGCTGCTTAAGTTCCCGGGGGAGCTTCCGGTTTTTTGTATGCCAGGTTAGCATCAGGGCCCCAACTTGATGCGCCCACAGTTCTCCATTGCTGATACGGTGTATGAGTTCCTGAATGGAGAGCAGGCATTTGTCAAGCGCAATTCAGCTTGGGTGTTTCCAGAAATAAAAAGTCCCCCAAGAAAGTGGGGTTCCTTTTCGATGGAGCTTGAAGAAACCAAGGCGGAAGCCCAGAAAATGCTTCAATACGGGTGTGTGCTGGTTTCGGGGGACATGCCTACGTTGACGTTTGTGGGGGTAGCTACAGGTTAGGAATTTAAAGGGCCCTGTTTAAACATATTTTCATGGACCTCCAGGGAAACAGAGGGGCGCGGGTATGGGCAGGGATGCGCCCCGAAGAAGGTCCAAGGCCCATAGCTCCGCTTGAAGGTCCAATACAGAACACGTACCTCTCTGAGTTGATTCCTTTTCCATTCTTTTCAACCATGCTTCTCAAGAACCATATCCGTTTTCCCAGGGCTTTTGGTTTGTGAGAAAGAAGGATCCCTGGAAAGAGCGGGGAAGCCACCTCTGCCCCATCTGAGGACGACGGCTCCGGCGGCGAGTTCTCCGCGCCGAGCAGCAGGCGGGGGCAATACTCGGTGCGGCATGTTCGCATTCGGACCTCGGACCATCTCAAAATGGTCCCTCCCGACCGATGGGGTCATTGATCTTGAAGTTTTTTCGTTGGTCTTTTTTTTTTTTGTGCATCTTTTATTTCTTTTTCGTTGGGGGCGAGGGTTAGCAGAAACTGGGGTCGTTTTTCGCTTTGACCTGAGAGTCAGTTACGGAGTGACTTTGACAATGGTAAAACCGATGGGAGGGGAAAGTACATATATGTTGGACATACCCTTCCTCGCACTATCATAGCATTTGTGGGAGGGTATCCGAAAGATCAGTTTCCTTTTAAAGGTACCCTCTGTCAGGTGCCATGTTAGTGGGAGTGAGGGTATGTGCCATGAAGATCCGGTTGCTTTGGGGACCAGGAATGGTTATAGATTCAGTACTATTTAGACAACTACTCACAAGGCATAAGGTAGAAACATAGACCAATGAGCCACAAGATTGTTGACCACGGCATTCACGTTCTTGGAGATGGACATTCTCAAAAGCTTCCCTTTTCGCTCACATGACTGACCACTTGGCTTGATCTCCGGAGGTCTTCTCGGCCCCACTTCAGCAAACTGCGTAGGAGTTTGGCAAAAGCTACCGTGATATCTGCAAACGTTTGCAACTATTGGGATGTGAGGTCCTTTGGTGGACATGATTTAGGTGATTTCATGCGCACCAACCAGTTTTTGAGGGGGTTTCCCAGCTGGGTTTAGGTCAACATTGGTCCACCAGAGGATCGCAGGTTTTGGCCCATGTGTCCACTTCCCAGGGTTCCCTTTTGGGTACATATTTTTGACCCACAGCCAGCTGGGTGCACTGCCATTCACTTCTCAAGTCTGCGAGCTCTATGCGCTCGCCTTGTGTCGATGTTCATTACGTTTCTTGCCTGCGGGCGAGAGCCAATCAGATGCCAATGTTTCAAAATTAGCCTCAAAGTGGATATGCCACACCTCTTCTGTGCGACGAGCTGCGATGAAACGCACTTCGCTGCGAAACCGGACAAACTGAGCTATGTGTGTTTCCCACGAAGATATCGCGACATGATAGACCAAATAGTGACTTTTGCCTTCCTCGAGCGGGAAGGTACCCCCAAACTCCCAAACCACCGGACACGTGGGGCTCGGGTGCTGTTAGCCGCAGAATCGAGTTATCCTTTGAGCCTTGCGTTTGCCAGGTTTTTGCTGATGCCGGACTCTGTCATCAGCATCGGTCGGGGGCCTTGAACTAGTCGAGCTGAGAGGCACCCTTGGGGACTAGTTCACAGAAAAGCCAAAGGAGCATCTCTTTGAGGGCCCCTCTATTGTGACACATACCCATGCAACCCAGGATTCCACTCTTCTTGCTTTCGGCCAGCCAACTGCATTCCTTCCCTGTGCCAATGTGTCCTTCAGCCGGAAACCAATCCGAAACCCAGCCTACGCCAACCCTAGCTTGTAGGCTTCAATGAGGCAGTGCACGTGCTGATCAGGATGTGTCAATTGAGTCCTGCGTCCGGCGCTGTTAGCCCTGGTGCAGTTGCCGAAGCTTTGGTGACAGGAACCGGTAGAGGGTCAGAAAGAAAGAGAGTGGGGGGCTGAGAAAGACGGGGGGTTGGTTCGCAGCAACGGTTGAGAAAAGGAGAAAAGTCCCCATCAACAGTAGCGGCTGAAACGAGTTTCAAAGAGTCGAGTCTGGTCGCCTGAGGCTGGAACCTCATCATGATGGTCTGTATCTTGATGCTCCCTGGCGAAGGGCATTCCGGGCCGCCACTGGGGGCCCTGCTTGGGGGTGCCATTTTTTTAAGGGACCCACCAAATTGCTCGGTTTCCCTTTAAAACCACCCAAAAGGTATTCTGGGAAACCACTTCTTCCTGTAAGGGCTCTTTCTTCCTGTAAGGGCTCTTTCTGGGAGCGTCACGCATTCCGCAAATGCTTGGGACGCAGAAGGTCTGTCAACCATGCCGCAGTTGTTCAACCAGCTGCTGCTGATCGCAATTGCACTATCTGAGCTGGCATAATATGGTTGCTTTCGCAAAGAAGTCGAAGCAAACACGTCGTGATCTTGTTGGTTATGCATGGTTCGCGCTGTGATGGGCACCTCATTTGCTGTGACCGGGCTAAACGCAAAGATGTGAGCAATGAACAAAAGCTCCAAAAAGCGAGTCGCCATCAACCCAAACTTGTTGGGGGTCACGATGGTAGTTATCCAGGTTTCAGTCCTGGTGTTGGCGCTTTTTGGGTTGGGGCTGCCTTAGTGGCGCAATAAATTGTCCAATTTCCACAAAAGAAGTCAAAGCAAGTGGCCTGAGGCTGGCCGGCATCCTCCCGATCCAGCTGACCTACCTGTGGGCCGAACCCCTCCCATCGGATTGGGTGGCGGCAATAAGCACCTCGCTTGGCAGGGCCAAGCCCGCGCGAATTCGATGGCCCAAAGTGAAGCGAGCTTAACTTTGGTTTGGTTTGGGCCCTTGGCTGACCCCCAAAGTTAGTTTTTTTTGGTGTGCGTAGTTGTTTGGCAAGTGAGTTATGGCACTGGGTTGAAGCGTGAGATCAAGAAGTCCTGACGGCGCACAGGAAGGAATGCGGTGTTCGTACTTGTTTGCACAACAACACACTTGCAAAATAGAAACCCGCAAGTCTCACCTTTTGGCCAATGTTTTCAATGCATGCTCTTGGTTGGACATCCCTTAAAACACAAGCACAGGGTGCCTCATTTGAATGCCGCTGCTCTAAGGCCCATCAAGAGATGGGGTTGAGGCTTCGAGGTGTTTGCCCCCCTGCTGTGGATACCCCTTTCAAGTTCAGGTGGGCGAATGTTGTGCTTCACCTGTTTGTTCGGGGTTGCTTTAGAAGGAAGCCACAATTCAACCGATAACCCAAATGCATCATGGCTGGCACCTCGCCAAAGCGTCTATTAAGTATATATGCAATATCATACCCGAACTGGTGAACCAATCACATCCTGCCAAAACCCAATCGCGGTACTAACATGGAAGCTCCCAGGACCCCTTTTGGAAGACTATAGGTTCCATTTACACAGGCCTTCTGGGAGCTTCCATGTTAGTCTGAGAGTGTAATGTATCAGGTCGCCCTGGTTTCCCTACGTGCAACATTTCGTGCATCCCATTTTGGTCGGGAGGAACGGCATGCATGTGCCTGCCACTGAGTCCTTGCCGACATTTGCCTGATTCTAGATGCCTGGGCCTCGGACGCGAGCTGCCGCCAAGGCCGCGTTTTTTTTCTCTTCGTTTTTGAGTGGTCCTTGCTTTGAGGTTCCGGTTGAGCCACAGGTTTGGCTCCAGGTTACCATGGGCCTCTTTTTCCACATCGATGAGTGGATCCTAACATTCGGGGCCCCATTTCGAGCGACAGAACAGCCGCGGGAGCCCGGACCCGCGGGACGTCTTGATCCATGCACGCTGTGCTCGGTTCTGTTTTTTGAGGTCCCGGTCAGCTTCATCACCACATCCCTGGACCGCAAGACCCTGCAGCTCATGGAGTTTCGCGAGGCGCGGCCAGCCAGGGAGCTGCTGGCACCCACTAAGATGGGGTGGGAATGAAACTCCCCGTGCTGCTTGATGTTGTTGTGTTTTTGTTTGGTTCGTTTGGTTGGTTTTGTCCTGGAGTTTGCACAGCGCGAGCGGACACGTCGCGCTCGAGGCAACCGCGCTTTTTTTGGTGGTGTGTGGACGATGTCCGTCTCCCAGAGACCGGTTTATTTCTGCTCAATCTGTGGGCAGTTCGTGTGGTGCGCAACCATATCATGGCGCTTCAAGGGTTAAAGGAAGTGGATTGTTTGAACCTGCGGTCAGGATCAAGCATGCCAGTAGAAACAAAGCCTGCAGTGTGCTCTGCACCGCAGCGCATCCTCCAAAGGATACGGGGTAGGTTCAGCTCAGTTTTTGTTACCCCGCGTCGCAGTGTCTTTTCTTCATCGTTCTTTTTCCAAAGCCGGCCTGTTGACCTGCGCGCCCTGTTGGTTTTTGCTATTTGCTGTTCAAGGTCCCCTAAAACGACAGTCACGACGCTAGTCAATAAGCTTTCCAGCCGAGCTTTTCGAATTGTGGCAAGCTATTTGCGTTGGAAGGGGACCAACACCCCCCTGCCAGAGCTCGTTTGATGTGAGGGCCATATTGACACACCTATGCCTAGCTGTTGAGGAAAAGGGGTTCTAGTCGCTTCTCCCTATTAATCAACCTCTCAGCCGCGCCAAGAAGCGCAAATTTGAGACCGCACATGTTTTCCACCAAGCTCTCAAAATGTGCTTTCTAGGCCCCCCCCTCCGTAATGTGTTGGCTCCAAGCTATGTGTCCAAAAGAAACAAGCCCCTTTCCTTTGCAATTCTAAGTTGCTACTCAAAAGTTGCATCCTAAGCATGTTTTCTTTTAAACCAAAGGGTTGCCTTGTGCGACAGGGTTTTGTTTTAAACAACGAACAGCTTGTGGGTCACCCAGGAGTCCTCGAATCAAAAGTTTTGGTTCCTCCCGAAACGCGCTTTATTGTTAGGGTCTCCCTGCCCAGCTTGCCTCCCTCGAACCATATTTAGGAATTGGTTAAGGAGTTAAGTGGCTGTCTAGCTGACTAAACTCTTCAGGCGCACTCTCTCTCTCAATCTGGCTGACCCCCCCAAACCCAAAATCTCTCCAAAACAAAACGGGCATCTCCCCAAGCATTGTTGTACTGAGGCCTGTGCAGCAAACACGCTCACGCACGAACACTCAAAAGAACTGTCCTCCTCAAACCAAAAAAACAACCTGAGCCCCAAGCAAGTTTTAATAGAGTCCGCTCGCCAACCCCAAACATTCCAACAATTTTACAACGGGAATGCCCCTTGCAGAGTTCTTACTTAACAGTTGCAATCTGAGCCTTTTTTCCTGCAGATCAAAGGGGATCCACTTTCCAATACAAGTCCAATTCCAATACTAAACAGCAAGCAATGAACTATATCTAAGGCAGAAAGCCGGCGACCCTATTAGGGGCACGTTTGTTTTGTTAGGGGGAAGGGATTACATGCTTGCTGGTATGGGTTGAATCTGAGGGCATTTTAACGTTTTCACAATCATGCAGGAATATCGGTTGGTCACAAGGGCACCCTCCGCTAAAGGTGCCTTTCAAATATGGTCTAACGACCCTGGGCAAACCCTAACCAAGAACAAGCCTTCTGGGTTGTGAGGAGGCTCGGGCCAAGCCTTTGTTTAAGGCGGATTCGAACTATGGCCAATGCGCTCAAAACTGAGCTTGGGCTGATCTTGGTCATATATTAATCGACTCAACCCGCATGTTACCCAGCTTCGGGTTCTGATCGCGGTCTGTCGGCTGAAACCCGCTGGCCAGGTGGCTATTCACTACGCCAGGAGCTGGCTGCTCGTGGATCTGCTGGCCATTTGGCCCATGCTCCTCACCTCCGAGCCCCAGTCGCCCGGGCCGGGACGCCCAAAAAATTGGAGCGCGGGAGGGGATGAAGCGGCCCAAGAAAAAGCGGCCCTAGATGAAGCGCCCACTTGGGGTGGGGGTCGCTTTTGGTTTGGGGTGGGTGGGGGGGTGCCGGTTGTAGTTCGTCGTTTTTTGGCCGCCTGACACGCTGTTATTCTGCCATCAACAGAGAGAATAGGCTCAATGGCCACGCCAGGTTTCAATTAGTCACTTAGGGATCCAATCGGTTGCAAGTTGATTCCTCTGATTCGTACGGGCATCCAATGTGTTACCAGTCTTAGGCCTGGTGCCGCGTAGATGACGCATAGCAAACTTCTGATCTGCAAGCCGCCCAAAGTAGCTCATGTTTCAGTCACGGGGTGTCTTGGGGGGCGGGTATCTTGCTGCCATGGGTGCCCAAGGCTCACTTCCCAATTGACCTTCTGCTTTTCTGGAAGACCTCTAGTGGAAAAACAATACAAGTTTGGGCTTGTTTCACTCAATCCGCCTAGGTGAGGGTTCATCCCAGTGTTGAGTTTTCATGGTTCATAAACCACCCCAACTGGTGCCAGGCCTGGATGTTGTCGTTTCGCGGCTCGTATCGGAACCTCTGCGCCAGGTTCATAGTACATCGGCTCCTGGCCTCAGCTCGCTCGGGGGAAGGGGCTGCAACCAGGGCGAGCCGGGCGAGTCGTTTCTGGTTCTGCTAGGGTCGAAATCACATCTGTCACATGTTGTCAAAATCACAAATGCGACCCATAGCCAAGTTGTTGTCCCAGAGAATTTCTTGGCAGCTCTGAAAAGCACGTTAGATCGCGAAAGCGCGCGCGAGCGAGCAAGCGCGGGACCGGCGACCTAGCACAGACAGGAGAGCCGTGGCGGCCAAGCGTCGAGTCCCTGAGATAACATCGGCTTGGAATTCAAGGATGTTCTGCAGGTGATCGGGAAGGTGTATTTCTGCTGACCTTCCCCACGGAACCCACCACAGGTTCCATTTCAAAGTAAAGTAGTCTTCCGTGACCCCTCAGTCAGGGGTGTTTCATGCTTGTTGTTGGGAAACATTTTATTGGTTTGCTTATTGTGGTTTTAGTGGGAAATCCCCACTGACCTGCTAAAATTTAAATTTTTGCTCCCCCTTGTAACGTCCACCAAGTAAACTGCTTGTTGAACCACTGCCTTGTGCACCACAGATATGTTTCGCTGCTTCGGTTTTGAGGGTAAGGAAACGCCGGCATGAGACATGTTTAGCGGGGCATGTGAACGACCTTCAGAAAGGCCCTTCTGTCTTGGCTCGTTGCTAAATATCTATCACAGGGTGATTTTCCCAAGATCCACAAGTGAGTTGTTTAGGTCTTTCAGACAACCTTGGGGTACGTGTCCAAACAGAGGAACACAGGGTGGGTTTTCTTTTAGGCCTTCCTTTAAACTTTCAAGTGACCTGACAAGGGTACCATCAAGCAACGGCCACACACACACACACACCCACACACCTGTACAGGGAACCACCTCAAAAGGGGTTGGTGGACATAAACCCCAACCGAAAAGTTGTCCGCCAGGTGGTCCCCCTATCAAGATCCACACCGTTTAGCACCCGTCCAAATGTGAGCCCGACATTCGAAGCCTCGCTTTTTCGTGTGAAAGATCGGTTCTTTGAGTTCCTGGACTACATGCTTCGGAGGTCGCTGTTGGTGTGGTGTGGTTGCAGTTGCCACGCTGGCCGGGCCAAAGCAATCCGACACAAGAGGTGCTGGACTTGGCACTTTCTGGGACTGGACCAGTTTGATGGCAAGCGAGACGTTGGAACTTGGCCAACGGAAGTGCGCCCATCTGCCATCTGCCATCGCCCCATTGCCTTGGGAAGGGAACCGTCAACTCCCGGGGAAGCGTCAACAACACCCGGCCGTGTTTGTTTAGGCGAGCGGGTGGCTTCACGTAGTAAGTGGGTTTCGGGCCCACCGGCCGGCTCGTCTTTTGAGTCAGACTCCGCCATGTGTGCCAAGGTCAAAACCCCGGGTCACCCTTTTGATTGAGGTTGGTATAGATTTGGTGAACCTGTCCATAGGGATTGAGACAACCATGCTATGGATTCCTATTGAGGGAAGCTTGACCTTGGCCCCCGCAAGGTTTTGACGTCACGTATGAAATTGTGAGGTGCTTCTCCTTAAGAGGCTGATTTGAACGCAGGTTGCGTTAGAGCAGACACTCTACCACTGACGCAGCCACAAGCCGAACGGCTACAACCACAAGCCGAACGGCTACAGCCACATCACGAACACAAAAACACTTTGTCATTTTGTCAAAGCAAGCATCAGTAATGCTCCGAGCAAATAGGATGAGACCATACCCGGGAAGCAATTTGGACAAGGGTTTACCTCGGTTTCCCTCAGGATTTCGTCCGAGACGGGATTTCGGGGCGAGCCACGTGCAGTCCTTTGGGCGTGAGGTTACTGAAGCTGGTGAAGGTGCTGAAGATGCGGTACTGGATCCCACGTTTGGAAGACCAGTTTCAGAGCAAGAAAACGCCCGGGTTGCCCAGAGTTGCCGGGGTTTCCCTCGGGAAGCTCCAGAGTGGCTGTGAAAAATTTGGCAAAGCTGCTCGTGGCAACAGTGTTTGACCGGACCCCGCAAATGCACATGGAACCCGAAAGACAGGGACCCCCAAAAGGGGATCCCAGGTCGGTGAATCTTATCAAAGGTTGTCGGTCTGCGCCACGAGGTCCTGGGCGAAAATGTC